ATCTCTCTCTCTCTCTCTCTCTCTCTCTCTCTCTCTTTGTGTGTGTGTGTGTGTGTGTGTTTTCAAGGCCAGTCTAGTCTACAGACCTAGTTCCAGGACACCAAGGCTACACAAAGAAACCCTGTTTCAAAAAAAGAGTGTTCACAGCACAACAGGTGGACATCTGAAAGGGCATTCTTGGCTACTGGGTGACATCTTCCAATCTCTGAAGATCCCCTGACCATAGCATTCAGACCAGACAAACAAGATAGTATACTAGGTGGAAAAATAGAACTACAGTCCTCGGTAATCATGGGAACCAAGAACCTAGAGGAAGACTCCCTTTAGGTGCCCAGAACACTGTAGTCTGCCTTCAGAGCCCCAGAGCTTAACCCCTTCTTGTTCTCCTGACTATCCAACAGTGAATGGTTTTTGCTACACCAAATGCACCCATCTGTCTGGGAGTGTTCCTGAAGGTACTTCCCTTATTGACGACCCTTGGAAGAAATTATGAAGTGGTAGGAAATGTGGAGGCCCAAGCCAGACTCTTAAACTTCATCCAGCAAGAGACCAGTCCATGTGGCTCTGAAACACAGCAGGATCTAGCCATGGAGACTTTCTTCTCTTCTGGTTTATATATCTCATATTTCCCATTACAGGCCTTAAAAATAGCTTATCAGGTGTTCCTTATGTTAGGCCAGTGGATAAAAGAGATCCAGAGGGGTAAGGACACAGTCTAAGGGAGCCCCTGCTGATGGCCATGTGTAAGACAGTCCTGCAGACTTGTCTCCTGAGCCAGAGCATTTCTCTGTCTGTCTGTCTGTCTCTCTTTGGTTTGATTTCTTTTGAGACAGAATTTCTCTGATTAGCCCTGGCTGTCCTGGAACTTGATCTGTAGACCAGGCTGGCCTCAAACTCAAGATTACCTACCTGCTTCTGCCTCCTGAGTTGGAGGATCATGCTGTGTCCTGGGACTAAAGATATGCACCACCATGCCTGGCATATTATTTGCTCTTACCATTGATTCTTTAATATCTTGTGACTTTGATGAATTCCTAATAAGATCTGCCATTCAAAATAACCTGAAGTAAATATTCTCTTTGGCCTATTTTTCCCATTCAAATGAATAATCTGTAAGCAAACACCCTAAGCACTCTTGACAAATAATCAGTATCCATAATAAGAGACTATGAAATACTTTTTCCCTGTTTATGTCACAGCCCCTGGAAAGTGAGGGCAAAAGTGGAGGCGGGGCATGGTACTGTGGGGCAGAAACAAAAGCAGGCAGCAAGGAGGGGAAAGATAGTCTACAAATTGAAAGGTGGAGATGCCAGGCAGAAAGAACAGCTTTAATTCCCAGTAAAGCCCTCAACTCCATCCAGAAACCTAAGCAGGCTGACCCTTCTTTGCCTACAGCTATCAGTGGTAGCAGTTTAATTAGCACCTGGCCCTAGGCTGCTGAAAATTCTCATGAGTGTCCCAGGTCTAGTAATCCTGGTCTAGAGACTCAGGATTGGGAAAACTTTAAAGTTTCCTTTAATTCCATAGATTGACAGTTACTGTGCTGGGAATGTTAGTCGGGGCCTCATAAACGTTTAAGCAAGATTTTAGCAGCCCCACCCACAGCACTCAGTTAAGTAAGTGTTCTTGCAACTTTTTTTCCCACCCACCAGCTTTGAGATGTCCACAGACCAGTGTCTTGCAAGGCCAGCAGAGCGATTTACTTATACACTAGGGACATGGGGGAGCCTGGGCTAAGCTGTATGGGGTCATTTGTCCCACGACCCCAGCAGTAGCTATGTGAGTTCTGGGCAAACAGTTACAGCCCCTCGGGATGCCAGCACCCAACAAAGACTTCCCACATATGGACAGAACTTGCTGTGCTACCTCACACTCCAGCTCCATTGGAGTTCCAGGTACTTCCCATCTCAAACTCAAAGCAAGCTTTCCCTCTACGCTGGAAAACTCCAAGACTAATTGAGGTTTTGCCTGTGTGCTAGAAAAAGCTGAGCAGATCTTCCCTACCTCCAGCTAGTGACAGCTCAAGAGCCCAGCATGGAGTAAAGAAACAGAGGAGTAGAGAGTCTCCCCTCTCTCACCCTTCCTCCTCTGGAAGACATTTGGTTCCTTGGAGTCCTGTGTCTCTCGGTTTAAGAGTTGTGGCATAGCCCTCTATCCTAGTTCTAATGGGTAGCCACACATGATCAAATCACCGCGCACCGTCAGAGCCCAAGGCCCCTCTTCTCCTTACTCCCAGTGGAAGTGGGAGTTGTCTAGGTTCTCACCATGCTAGCTCTGCTTGGAGAGGGTTCCTTCATGGGAAGGGGTGCTCGGAGTGCTGCACAGTCAGGGCCACTTCCAAGTCTTTCTCCACGAGTTTGACATGGTATGTACATGACCCTAAGTAGAGGTCTTCTCAAATCATGGGTGAGAGATGCCAAGAAATGTAATATAAGGGTACTGGCAGCCATCTAGGGGTCATGGAGCTCAGTTTCCAGGGACAAGAGACCAAGCCACGGGAAAGGGAGAGTAACAGCGAGCGAGCTCTCTCTGGGATGGGAACGGCCCTAAGGTTATCAATCTTTGCTCAACCTAGAGTCTTCCCCTCTCCCCCACCGGTCCTGTTTGCACACATACACACTTATATACATATATATATATGTACACACACAAACACACACATGCACACACACACACCTTGTGCCTTCCTGCCCATTTCTCCTCATGCTATCTTCCAGGAACAAAAGCAGCAGCCATCTCAGGGCTAACTCTGCAGAGGGACCGTAGCACAGTCTTAAACTGTTTGTAAGGCATTCCGCTCTTAATGTGTTGGTCAGATCTACTCAAATGTGGGCCTTTGTATCCAGTGTCTTTTCCTAAACCAAGCTGTGGAACCAAGGTGGCTCACAGATCCCAGAAGTGGAGCGGCTGTCACAGAGGTCATGCAGTGTTGCCAGAGGACAGCACATAGCCACACTACTGGTCGGAGCCTGCCCTGCTTGTCCTTTTGAGCAAGCAGGGTCTGAACGCTGCCTTCTCATTCAGGAGGCTTCTCAAGGCTAACCCTTCCTTATTCTGAAAAGACTGTGCTTTTACCCTTTACCAACTTGATGTCAAAGGAGGCTGAGGCCTGTGTGGTTTATTCTCTGGAGACACCTGACAGCATATTCCCGAAGCTGTTTGGAGTTACTGCTCTAACACTCAAAGGTCATAAGGTAGTCTAATTTTAACCCAAAGTATCAAGCAGTAACCACATCCAATCTGGTGTGGCCCGTGGTCAGCTTGTCTCTGTGACAGAGCCTGGTTGCTTATCTGCTGCGTAGGGCCAGAAGAAAACTGAAAGCTTGTACCAAGGTTGGGAGTGTGGACACCTTTAACTATGCCAGGCAATCACTTCCTCAAACCTTACTTAGTTGGTATCACATTCCGTCCACAGAAAAGGAAGAAAGGAAGTAGATCACAGCTCCATATGCACAACCCAGAGGTTAAAGAGTCAGGGGAGGAACAATTTAGCCAAAGATGTTTTAGACAGCAGAGCAAAAGCACTCTCCATGGATGCAAAGGCCAAACCTTCCTTCTGTGTGGGACGGTGGGTCAGCTCTTTGGAGGTGACATCCAGCAGGTCCTATCATTCATCCAGATTCCCGGAAGGAGAAAGTCTTAGATGTGAAGCACTCAGTTAGGCAGGCAGGCTGCACCTGCCCATTACACTCACCTCCGCCGTACATCTGGCACAGGTAGGGGAAGCGCCACACGTTCCCCAGGCCCACGGCATAGGAGACACAGACAAGTAGGAACTCCAGGGGGTTGCCCCACTTTGGCCGCACCTTCTCCACAACCCCAGGCTGGGCACACTCTGTTGACCTCGGTCTTTCTGGATGCTGACCAGGAGGGCCTCCAGAGCCTCCCCAGGGCTGTAGCTCTTCATCCTCTGGCAGGGAGATCTCATGTGCTGAAGGTGATTCCATCGTCTGTGACTCTCAGTGTAGAATGGACAACACCTGTGCTCTCTTCTGCCCCGCCCCCAAACCCCTGTGTTTTCTACTGTTTCTTTCTAGAACTCTGGAATCAGCTTTGGACCCTACCAGGCCATGGTGTGGGTTCCTTTCTTGACCAGTGCCTCCCTCTCTGCCTCAACCTCACAAGTGGCCAGTTTAGACCCTCCCACTGACCTTTGGCCACATTCCTTTCTGTGTCCCTTTTCTCTCAAACTTCAGGATTTCTGGGCTCCTCAGGTTGCTGTTAAAGGTGTCTGCAAAAAAATTTTACAAAGGTGATTGTATCTGCTGGAGGCTGATGAAAAATTGGAAAATGTTTAGCTACAAACTGCAGAAAAACTCTGATCTACGTACTTGTCAATTTCTATAGTACAAACATTCCCACTAATGGCGCTTCCTGAGCTACCAATAAAATCCGTTAAGTGCAACAGGACACCATTATGCTGGGTTTCCACCTTGTACACAGAATGACAGAGCTATCCTCAGGAACATAACTGACAGCTAAAGGGTAGCAAGTAATCAGAGTCGGTGAGCTGAGCATTGTGTCTGATTTCTGATGCCACTCAGGCCTCAGTAATAACTGGATTTAACCTTATCAAAGGGGATGAAGCCCAGTTCTCTGAGCTGTCCAGATTCCCAGCACAGACAATTCAGTCCAGATTAACCTCATCTGAGCGTTCCCAGGAAGCTGCCCAACGGATGACTGCCTATGGATGGGAACCTCACTGTGCCTACCAGAAACAGGATACAAACGACCACCAAACTGTGTCACTCGGATTCTGGACAAAGGAGAGAAAGTGGGTACAGCTGTGGCCAGGGTCCTATAGTCTTATTTTCCCAACTAAGAAGGTTACGCAATTTTCAATCATTTGCTCATCCTGGTGAGTGCACTGTTAATTAGTTATCAGAGTTTCAAGTTTCCCCATTTGAGAAAGTCCAGACTCCTTAGCTCTGCTTGCAAAGCCTTGAGGAATCTTTTTTTATTTTGATGTTGTTGGTGTTGTAGTTTTCTTTTTGTAAAAAGTTATCTTTATTTTGTGTGTGTTTTGCCTTCATACGTGTGTATAGCTATACCGCTAGCATTCATATATACACAAATATATTCATCTATATGTGTATCCACATATATCTGGAACTGGTGTTATGGATTGTTGTGAATCACTACTTGGGTGCTGGAAACTGAACCCAGGTTCTCTGCAAGAACAGCCAGAGCTTTTAACTGCTGAGCCATTGCTCCAGGCTCCCCTTTGAAATGGAGGTTTGCTAAGTTACTTGCTTAGGGTAGGTCTTCAGTCTTCCTGCTTCAGCCTCTCAAATAGGCGGCGTTACAGATAGATATTACCACACCTGGCTCATGTTGACTTCTAATTACAATTACATTATTTGAGATTTGTTTTGTGCCCTAAGTAAGATATGTGGTGGAAGAGCAATGTGCTGATAAGAACGTATATTCTGTAGCTAGTGTACGGATAATTTATCTTTTTAAAATAATAATTAACCCCTTATTGTTATACAATGATCTTCCTGTTTCTTTTTATGGGGTTTTGATGTTGTTTGTTTTGTTTTTTTTGAGACAGGTATAGCCTCAGTCTCTCAAATAGTGGGAAATTCAGGCACGCATCACCACCACATGTGGCTCTTTTTAAATTTTATTTTATATTTTATCTTTCTAAATTACTCTGTCCACTATCTCCAATATAGGTATTGTGCTGTTGTGCCCAAAACCAGCAAAGGATTTGTCCGAAATAAGACTTAGTACCATCTCAAGAGGATTACTGAGAAACATCCTGCTCTACATGAGACCCACAGAAACCAAAGTAAAGCTATCTCATTCGACTGTGTTGTAGACAGCTCCCTGACTGGCCTGGGTCGGCTTAGGATCTTTTGACTTTACAATGGTGTAAAAGCAAAATGAATGCTGTAGAAGCTATAGTTTGAGTTTCAGTGCTTTTTGAGGAAGCAGTCTGAAGCAGGATGCTCTGTGGAGATGAGGAGAATCCTGGCAGCCGCATGCCCTCTGATGATCAGTTGACCATGAGCTGCTGCTCTGACTGATGGTTAGGAAGGTAGGTGTAACTGATACATCTTCAACTCAGGGTGCTCTTCAGTCTGTAGAGGTGCAGCAGTATGTAACCCCAGTGTGGGTGGAGGAGTGTGGGAGCTCAGTAAGAATTCTGAGTGCTTGGGAGAAAACTCTTAAGAAAACAAGACAAGAGTCTTGTGGCCTTAGTTTTTTCAAAACACAGAATTGTTCTTGGAATGTGCTTGCATGACCCTCCCAGGTGTAGCCAATAGGAGTGATTTTTATTCATTACAACTGGCTATTGTTATTTGTTTATATGCCTCTGTGGAAAAACATGGGTTTGTCACATGTAGCTTTGTCTCTGTGATTGTAAACAGCTTGAAGTCATGAGAACTTTACTCATGTGACCTTTCTTAACTCTCGGAGTCTAAGTTGTCTGATACTCTGAATAAAGTTGGCTGTTGCGTTAGACTTCAGTCTGCCTCATTTTTAGGCTCCATGCTCCCAGGTTCCACTGCCTGTAGAGGGGTGAACAGAGGAACATGTGTATTTCATGATATCATGTCCTTGCCTGTCTGTTTCCATAAGTAAAACTGTTCCACAGAAGTGAGTTCCCGTCATGACTGAAATGCTCAATGGTGTATTTAAATTTTTACAAGTACTGGATGTAAGTATTTCTAAACGCACCATGTTTTTTTTTCTCTCTCTTCTTAAACAGGCTCTGCCCTGGCTCTCAGATTTGACTGCATATTGGATTTACCTGAGAAATTTGAAAACTATGCAAGGCTGGGTCCCACTCTTGGGATTTCTGATGGATGCTGGAACTTTTCAGTGCTCCCAGGTGTTTCTAGCTGCAGACATGTTGGGCATGCTGAGATAGTAACAGGATAATAACATCGGCCAGCCTTCCTCTTTTCACCTCTGAGGGCACAGGATAATGAGACCTTGACTGTGACTGACCCCAGGAAGGCATGACAATCGCAGAAACAGTGACTATGCCTGAGAAGAGGGGACACATACCTGAGAATTCAGGAATAGGCTCTGTTGTGCCTGACAAGAGGTGGACCACTCTTCAAGCCTAAAAACAGCCTCATGAGAAATCAGGAGTAGACATTTAGGGAGATAAATGCCGCGTCTTACATTTTATGCAACGATCATTCTGAAACCAGGTATCAAGAAAAGATGGGCTCGGCAGCCATCTTCCAGTTAACTCGCCAAAATGACCAACACAAAGGGAAAGAGGAGAGGCACTCGGTATATGTTCTCTAGGCCTTTTAGGAGACATGGAGTTGTTCCTTTGGCCACATACTTGCGAATCTACAAGAAGGGAGATATTGTAGACATCAAGGGAATGGGTACTGTTCAAAAAGGAATGCCTCATAAGTGTTACCACCGCAAAACCGGAAGAGTCTACAATGTCACCCAGCATGCCGTGGGCATCATTGTAAACAAGCAGGTTAAGGGCAAGACTCTGGCCAAGAGGATCAATGTGCGGACTGAGCACATTAAACACTCGAAGAGCAGAGACAGCTTCCTGAAGCCGGTGAAGGAGAACGATCAGAAGAAAAAGGAAGCCAAAGAGAAGGGCACCTGGGTTCAGCTGAAGCACCAGCCTGCACCACCCAGAGAAGCACACTTTGTGAGGACTAGTGGGAAAGAGCCCGAGCTGCTGGAGCCCATTCCATACGAATTCATGGCCTAGTGTATAAAAGAAATAAAGGACCCGACTGCAGAGTTTTTCCTTAGGTTAAAAAAAAAAAAAAGGAAAGATGGAAGCAGCCAAGATAGTGAAAATCCTTCTATTTTTAAAGTAAGTTACAGGTCTATATTAAAAGACTCACTTTGGGAAATACAACATCATTATCCACCTTTTTAGACTTATATATATCATTTTAATTTATGTGCTGTGCTTTTGTGTATGTCTGTACAGGTGCAAGCAGGTAACAACAAGGACAGTAGAGGATGTTGAATCCCCTGGAAGTGGGGTTGTTGGAGGTTGTAGATGTCCCAATATGGATGCTAGGAACCAAATGTTGGTACTCTGCCAATGTAGCAAAGATTTAGCCAGGAAAATTTCTCTTCGGCCCCGCAAAAGGCCTTTCTTGTGCCTACATTTGCTATTGGTAGAAGAGAAAAATAAAAGACATCTCCGGCTGATGTCCCAAGTGATGTCTAAGCTTTTTCAACAGTGCCTGGAAAGATAGATTCAAAGAAATCTTTCAATTCCATGAGCTCAGCAGAGCAAAGATGGTTAGTACAGGAAGAACTCCCAGTCTAGATAACCTTGATCCGCTTTATTATGATAAAAAAAAGAAAAAAGACATTCACAAATGATAGCCATAAATATGGAGTCTTTTCAGCTACACCCTGCTCTGTGTGATGTATATACATTTTAGTGAATGAAGGTGGTTGTAAGTGATATTTATAAGAAAGTTAGAGTTTCTTGTATTCTTATGGATGCATCTGACACTGAAACCCTAGAGTTGGGAGTATCTGTTTTGATCCCTTGTACAGTTTAGAGTTGTAGAGAGGTTGGTCCTGTCCCATTGTCAGGAACCTTAGATTCGGAGAAAGGTGACTTCCATTGGAATCCCAGAAAAAGTCTTAGTGGCTATTACATCCTGGTAGCATTTAAAGAGTCGTCAGGGAACAGAGAATTACATATTCATTGTGACTTTAAAGAAAAGAATTAGATTAAATCTAAGATGTCACCTTACTTGTGTCTAACCTCTAACACTGGTTGAAAAGCAATTACCCTCTAGGATTTTGTTTTCTTTTAAGCAAAAAAAATGTAATTGCTTCTTTGGCTCCTTAGAGTTACAGTCAAGTTTCTAATGACAGTTTACCTTAAATTCTAGAACTTTCTAGAATCGAGAAAACAATGATCTTCAATACCGGCCTTAACTTTTGATGACAAAGAGGCTACAAGGTTTGACCTTCAGGTGGC